TTGAAGAATTCCTAGGATACTACCTTCTCTGATACCAAGTTTTTAACACCCCATCTTAGGAGGCATGACTGGCACCTAGTGTCACACTGGAATCTGGGCGGATTTGGCTAGGCACAGGCACCTCTAGTGCCTATGATGACTCAAATTCAAGAAAACAAGCTACTATATCTCGGTTGTAAATACAACCTCGGGCCAACAAGGCCACGCAGCACCTGTGAAAAAAAAACAGCTAACCAAGCCAACATACATCAATAGGGATCCTATGTGGACCGAGAAGACCACCATGTTGTCTAGTGATAACAGAAAGAAAAATAAACAGCTATACTAGGCCCCACAAGTCCAACACCTAAATAAGACATACATGGGCCCCACATGACCAACGACAGCTAACTAACTGGGTACTATAGTCTGCAAGCCTCTAAGAATAGAAATAGTGGTCGGGATAGGGCCCCGGCCTACCCAAATGCTATATAAATGAAAGACTGTAATCTCTACAACCTGGCAACTCCGAATGAAAAGAGTTGGCCAAACTGCTGACTCTAAATAACTGCTACTGAAGATCTTGAACTCTGTCTGTCTAAACCTGCAGGAAAGTAATGCAGCGCCCCTTAGTTGGGCGTCAGTACAATATGTACCGAATATGTAAGGCAGTAAATAAGCTGTTAAAGACTGATAGTAAGTAGAAGGAAGGGTCATAAGTTAACCTAGAAGTCTGCTTATTCATAACCTGCATCTAGTAAAACACTACACTTATATGAGCTACGACTGCACAATCATATATTCATAAGATATAGCTAGCAGACAAGAATACAAACAAGAGGTTTTATACAAAAAGGAATCCATGCAACGATAGGAAATCCTTTTTTTAGAGAGCCAATGCCTTAAGACAGACCCTAACCTAACCTGGCCTCCATAAGCCTAGAAGGTACAATCAACATATAATAACTTGCTCAGGGTCCACATAAGCCCTGGCAAGCACACTTCAATCTATATACGCCTAACAAGGTTCCTATGACTCTACTGGTGCTCTAACCAACCCACTGGTCCCATGGGTCTACAACTGAGCCCACTTGGCTCCTGATTTGTTGTTGTGTCTGACTCTGGTGGACTCATGATAACTGCACCCTAGGCACTAGGCTCGATGAGGGTTAGTGATGTCGATACGGCATAAAATAATAGTCCGACCATGGAATGGACTGTAATAAGGCCCTTGGGCCTCTGCAACATCCCTTGGGACGGCATATCAATCCTTGGAGCAACGTCATATAGCCCCTTAGGCGACGACACAGCTAGTAACCCTGGGGTGGTCATGGAAGGCTTCAAGGTGAGGGAAATCCCAACTGATGTGCTATACTGAAGTCTCAATCTAGCAACTCAAAAGGCGTATCTGGCCTTTTGGCCTAACGTGACCACTGCTCGCCCCTAGGATAGTGTGTACAGCTACTAGCAAGCACACCCTATGTACCTGTATCTGATCAAAGGATCCAGATAGTGATCATAATCTCTAATGGTCTAGACGGGATAGGGAGAAGTCTAGAGTGGCCTAACAATACTCTGAATGTCCTGCTCAGACAACTATAACTCATAAGCAACTGTAGGGTTGCAGATGACCAATTACTTTGTTCCTTTGCTTATAATGACTATAGTGCTGCTACTGGCCGGACATGCTTTTGAGCGGTCGGCCCCTAATCCTCCAAAAGTAGCCTACTAAAATTATTAGCCTGAGGGTAATACTGTTCTAACATGACTCTAGTCCTTAGGACATTAACTTGGTCTATTCGAACCTTATATGACTCTTCTAGATGATTCCTGACCTTGTAGGTAAGTTTACATGGACTTAGCCACTCACGGCAGCCTTTACCTTAGCATCTTATAGGAGCAGGGTGGGGTGTGGCCCTACCTTTATCTGCTAATAAGGTCCCCTTCCTTAGGGTACCCACGGGTCTATTTGACCTGAACGATTGGGATGGCTTCCCGGGCGACCTGTATGAAGAATACTAAGTCAATTGGAACTGACAGTCATTGGTAATAGCTAACTAGATGGCAGGCTGTCACTCAGTTCACTAGACAACCCTAGTACCGCTAACTCTAAAGTATGGCCATCCTATCTAAATTTCTGGCCCTGGGGCGTGAGGGTACGCCAATGGACTTTAGGCGTGCTTCACGGACAATATAGGCGCCAAACTGGTAGTTATATTGCCTAGTTGCGCCTATGTTGTTCAACTTACTAACTCAAGCCCAATAACTATCCACGAGCTTCTAAGGTAGCCTGACAATAAAACATCCAATTCTACTAACACAATGAACTGAAGAATAGAGGAGTTCCTACGATGCTTCTAGCGTGTGTCACACTTAACATGTTCTTTCCTGATAAGGAATACTGTGATATAATCCTTATACATTTTCTAGAAGCTAACCATAACATATGTAACGGTAATCTATTGATAGCAGCTAATCACGACATACCTGATCCTTATATACTAGCCGCAGCTAATTACAACATATAGGATCATTATCTACGTTTAAAATATAGGTCGTATCACTATACGACGAGAATAACTTGTCGAAGGAATAAGCCTTAACATACCTCGAATGTCGACTTTCGTTCAGCTGGCAAGTTTCAACTTGCAATCGATAGTTCTTTCCAACTGTAACCTCAATGCTGAGAGAATAGAACTAATTTCAATACTAAACTTGGCAATATACGATAAATTTCGATAATAATATCAACTATAATTCAACTTTGAATAACTCCGCTGAAAACCTAAAATTTCATGAGAGTTCAGAAGGGAGAAGTGCTTACCTAATGTTGTGGCCAGGTAGGAATCAATTTGGAGCAATTCTAAAAACTTTTACTCGGCGGAGTTCCGGTTTTTAAAGCTAATTTTTGAGATATAACTCTATAGTAATGCTTCCCGTAGGCCTAGAACTTGTTTCTCGAAGTTAATTTGTGATTGGACTGCATTTGGTAGCGTAATCGTTGAAAATTTGATGAAAAGTTGTGGTTTCTCTCTTCTCTGTCGAGGACCTCTTTTCAAATGAATTAAGATGAAGTGAGGGGAGTATATATATGTTTAGGGTGGTGGTCGAGGTGTGCCTCACGCTGCCCAACGCGCCACAAGGCCCCCCGCGCCGCCCTCCCATAGCGGCAGTGGCCTGGCACACTGCGCTGGCTAAGGCACTACAGGCTGGCGCGTCGCGCCGGCCCCCCACGGCCTAGCCTTGCCCGTCCCTGCTTTCAAGGAATTTTTCCACATACATCAAGTTCTTCTTACTCATTACAAATCTATGTTTATGCCTACTAACCATTGACATTTTGCGGGGTATAACAAGTTTGGTGAATAAAAATGCCTAAAAATAAAAATTGGGATTTCTAACAAGGAAAAAAAGTAAGAAGGCTAGGGAAGGAAAGGACTTCACCATCCGCCACAATAATTCTCTGCAAGAACCCAGAACTTGAGGCAAGAACGTATCCTTTTAAATGGAGTACAAATCTCCCCCTAATAAAACTTTGAGCTCCGAAGTTCCTTCAATGGAGTCTGAATCTTCTTGCAAAAAAACTTCTAGCTCCGAAAATCCTCCAATGGAGTCCGAGCTCCGAAGCTCCTTCAATGAAATACTAGCTTCGGAGATCCTTCAATGGAGGCAGAGGGCCAAAAAGGATTTGATTTCATAAAAAAATTGGTAAGGAACGAGAAACAAAAGAAAAGAAAGAAGAGCGTTGGGAAAAGGAAAAAAAAGGTTAGAAGTTATACATCTTTCATGCTAATTAAGGATTGAAAAAATAAATTTATATTATATACAAATGTGT